AGATAGATAGATAGATAGATAGATAGATAGATAGATAGATAGATAGATAGATAGATGATAGATAGATAGATAGATAAGAAACCATGTAAAGGGATCAGCTCATCCTGACAATATTTATTCCATTTTTGCAGCCCATCATAATATTTAACATAATTGGTATAAAGAATACAGTATAACAGAGTTGGAAGGGACCTTGGAGGTCTCCTAGTCCAACTCTCTGCTCAAGCAGGAGACCAGATACCATTCCAGACAAATGTCTTCTCATTCTCTTCTTAAAAACCGCCTGTGATGGAGCACTCACAGCTTCTGAGGGCAAGCTGTTCCGTTGATTAATTGTTCTCAATGTCAGGAAATTTCTCCTTACTTCTAGGTTGCTTAGTTTCCATCCATTGTTTCTTGTCTTGCCCTCAGGTGCTTTGGGGAATAGGTTCCCCCTCTTCTTTATATTAAGACTTTTATAACCAGCTAATGCTACTCAGTGTGTACTAAAAAATCAAATAAAACATTTAAGCATAGCATTTTATGGATTTTAGATATAAGGGGATTTATTAGAAATAAACTAGCAGTTGATTTTACCAACGTATTTTAAATGATTTAGATGCCTACAGTAAAAAAAAAATGCTTCTTATATGCCTTTGTATCTGTAGATTGATGAAATGGTGCTATGCTTGTGGGTGACCAGAATAAAAGGTAATAAATTTTAATTTATTAATAAAATTTAAACTTAATAAAATTTGATTAAATAGTAGGGTGTTGAAAAATACACCAAAGAAGTTGATCCATGTAGAATTCTTCTGTGTCACAATTAAGTTTTTGGTTTAAGTAAATTAACTTCACTGTATAACTTTGGCTTCACCAGTTGTCACTCAGACATCTGTGTTATCTATTATTAATCATTATTATTACTGTTTTAAATATTGAACGACATAACATTTAGCTTGCTGCTATTTTTATTACCATGTAGAAATGTATCCCTTCTTTCCTTCAGGAGTTCAAGGTAGGCAGCATACATAGGGTTCACAAGACCTGTTTTCAAAATAACCTGGGAGTAAGATGGGCATACTCTGCATTTCAATCCTAGACCGAAATCAGGAGGTGAGCTTTTCACTTTGGCTCAAGTGTCAGGAATAATAATCAAGCTCATGCACATGAGGGATGTTTAACAAAGTTAAAGTAAAGGTCATGTGAGTAGATGGTTCATACATTCATTGTGATCAGTGTTTTGCTTCCTGGAACACACATTCAAAGTAGGATGGGGGATGGGGACCCCTGGGGCATATCCAGCCAAGCAATAGCTGTTCTTGTTGATCCATTTGGGAACAAACAACACAGCCATAAGACATCTAGAATGGAATTTTTATTGTGCATATTGCCTTCTTCCCAGGACTGAGAGACAGTCACTAGCCTAAAGTCACACAGCTGACTTCGTGCCCAAGGTAGCACTAGAACTCATAGTCCCCTAGTCTCTAACCTGTGCCTTTAACCATTACACCAAACCAGCTCCTTCATTTAACTATTGCATGAAATATTATGGATATGAAACTGAAGGATAAAGGAAATATCAGGCAGGGCTATTGTTTACATTTTACATATTTGCAGAATGACCGAAAGGAAAATCAGAAAGAATATTATGGCCTTTCCTTAACAACTGTCCTGCATTAGACTACTGTTACCTAAATTGTCACTGCTGGGAGTGGCAAACTATATGTTAAAATGAAAAGAAACACTGAAATCCAGATATGGTATTACTCCATTGCTTTCTTCCTCTCTGGCTTAAAAGAAAATGTTCCGAAAATACACTTTCTTCTTTTTTAAAAAAAAGATTTTTATTAACAAACATGTAAAATAAACACACACAAAATTTAGACGTACACCACATTTATACAATACAATACNTTCCAATTTTTCAATTCTGATTAAAGTGAATTCTATGTTTAGAAGCTTTAGAAACTCTTTTTAATTTAATTAACAGTGAAGAAATTTATTGATTAGAATTATAAGGTTACCAATCTCACCTAAGGTACTTTGGATGGCTAACACAGTGAAAAAATACTTCATATGAAAATGAAAAAATGGAAAATAAAAACATTTTAATAGTAAAAAAAAAAACAGTTCTAAGGTATCCATAATTGTTGTAAAGCAGTTCTAAGGTATCCATAATTGCTGTAAAGCAGAGCTGGCTGGAGAATTCTGGGAGTTGAAGTCCACAAGTCTTAAAGTTGCCAAGTTTGGGAACCACTGCTGTAAAGGAACAACTTACTGAATTGCTTTATCTTGAGTTATCGTGAGAAAAAATATTTTATCCAGAAAACATTACAGTACTCTGTAAAATGAATAGTAAAATGAATAATCAATATTATAATATTATAAAATGTACTGTCCCCTTGCTAAACACAATTTAAATAACAATCATTGTCAAACCAATAGTAATCTTCATAGGATAACTAAATGTAAAAACAAAACAAAGCCAACAAAAAATAGAAACAGAAAAAACAAACAAAACCCAGCATGTAACTGGAGACCTATCTCCAGTTTGGAAAAAAAAAGAAGTAAAACATAATATTTGCAAAGGAAATAGATTGCCATTTCATTTCTCCTTCTGATCCTAACTTCACAAACTTCATTGCAGTTTCCATTTTAGAGAATGTTTTTGACTCCTGAATCTAAGGAAAAAGAACCAAAAAAATAAAATATCTGGGTGCATAAAAAAATGTAATTCCCTTTTGACTTGCTGGAAAACATAACTAAACAGATGTTATAGCTTCACTGCCTGAGGAGATAGATCTGTAAAAAAAAATCTGCTTAACTTATCAGAAAAAAATATTCCTATCTGTCATGACAATAATAAAATATTATCTCAGGAAGTGCTCTAGAGAAGTTGAACTAAAATTAGGCTGGAATTCTGGTAGATGAAAACAGAAACCTAAACAAAATGCTGCTCTATTCAATCTCCAATGGAAAAAAATCTCACACAGAAATACATAACAACAGTAGTGATTGATTAATTTGCCATTATATGGAATATTAAAGATAGATAGATAGATAGATAGATAGATAGATAGATAGATAGATAGATAGATAGNATTGTTGGGGGCAATATGCTGACTCTGTAAACCGCTTAGAGAGGGCTGAAAGCCCTATGAAGCGGTATATAAGTCTAACTGCTATTGCTATTGCTAAACCTGGCTCAGAGTTCATTTTTTTCCTCCTGGTTTCTGTCTTGCTTTAATGCTTCAATATATCTTAATGGGTATCAAGATGTCCAAGTTATGTCAAAGGGAATTTATAAGAAACCATATGTTAAAATGTATACCTTTTGAACTGCATATTTACATAGTCTCAAATGGGCCCCATTCAAGTTTTCTATCAACTCCTTTTCAATTGACAATGTACGTTTATCGTTATTAAAATATGTTTATTAGAATTTACCTTCGAGTATAGCTGATTAGATGTTATTGCCACTTACTGCCACTAGATGGTGGTAACATACAGCATCATTTTGATGGATAATCTTATTTTATTATATTGAGTATCATTATAAGTATTTTTAATTTTTGAACAAGTTTTTTTCTTTCATGTAGTACCACCACATAGAGTAATGGAGCTTTAAATATACAAGAGGTTCTTAGAAGTTTGGCCATGCACATTGCAAATAATCCATGCTGAAAACTATAGTTGGGTAAAATACCATGATCCTGGGTTACATGGATGTGTATGGGTTGTTTTGCCTAATTTTCTTTGCTTCTTGTTATCACAACAGAAGATGATTTTGCAATTACATTCCTTTCCCCCTTCCTTCCTAAGAAAGTAGGCTAGTTTGCCTGTTTTTAATATTTGCTTTTCCTTTTGCCACTGCAGAGTGTTTATATGAAGGAAAGCAGTTCTAGCCTCCGTGAGTTTTTCTTGCAGTTGATCCATAATAATATCCTGAAGATTGAGGACAGGTACATGTTTATTCTAAACTTTATAAGAATGTTTCACCTGGCAACTTGATTTTGATTGGGTTTTAATTGGGGCAGGGTAAGGACTCTTGTGACCCAGAAAAAAGCGCGCCCGACAATAACGCGCCGACAAAACGGTGGCGATAAAACCGCGATGTTGATAGCGTGCCCACAAAGGCGAGCCGACAGAAGCGCCATTACGGTTAATGTAAGGTCGGTGAACCAGTTAAGTTAAGAGTTAGGGAAAGGGTTAGGCTTAGGTTTAGGGTTAGGTTCAGGGTTAGGTTTAGGGTAAGGGTTAGGTTCAGGGTTAGGTTTCGGGTTACGTTTAGGATTACCTTTAGGGTTAGGTTTAGAGCGCGCTGTTTTCGGCGTGCTTCTGTGTTCATTCTTCACCGCAATTTCTAACTCGCGCTTTTGTCTCCGTGGTTTTGTCGGCGCGGTTTTGTCGGGCGCGCTTTTGTTGGTGAACCAGGACTCTAAATCCTTTAACTCTTTTCCATAATGGCCCACTAGGTGGCCCCCTGAGAGCCACAGGCTGAGTATCTGAATATCCTCCCCCCCCCCCCGCCCAGCAATTATTACTGAAATTTCTGTTACCTTTATTACAAGAAATATTATATAATCATCTTGGAGAGGAGCAATTGATTTGCCATGAATTTGTGCCTGCACTTTTTAAAATGGTTAAAGTGGGTGGCAAATTCTACGGTCCGAAGTCACTATTTTCTAAACAAAGGAATCTACAATCCCCTAGGTTAGGGGATTTACCCTTATTTGACCTTAAGGAATCTTGGATTTGTTCACTAGGCTGTATTCAGAAGCTGAATTGGCGATTCACCGACAAAAGGGCGACCGACAAAAGCACACCAGACTAAACCGCGGTGGCAAAACTGCGAGTTCTAAACCTAACCCTAAACCTTACCTTAACTTAAATCGCGCTTCTGTCGGCGCGCTGTTGTCGGCGCGTTGATGACGTCACGGTTTTAGCGCCGCAGTTTTGTCAGCACGCTTTTGTTGTGCACGCATTTGTCAGGTCACGGAATTGGCAACATTTATCTTCTTGACCTGTCTGTCTCTTGTCAGATATGTTAATTATTTCATTCCCATTGTACACTTGAGGGAACGAAGCTTTTGTCAAAGGCTGCAAATCTCTCAGTGGGCTGTGAAGTTCAAACACAGACTGAAGGCTTTGGTGTCTTCGTTTTTGGAGATTAACAGAACTTTTTAGGCTGTTGTTGCTCGGTGGTGTTTTTTGTTTTTTTTTAGCAGTTACTATTCTTGCCACTTTTGATGGGGTGTGTAAAGCGGCAGTGATTATTTCTCTTGGTGACACACAAGCTTTTTGTTGTTTTGCTCTTCATTTCGTTTCTGTTTTCCCCAAGTCCTTTCATTTGCAATTCATTTCAGCTGCAGTCATTGCTGTGCAATTTTCAAATAATCCTTTCTTCTAAAGATCCTTCTTAACCCTCTTGAGGGTAGAAGCCAGAACATCTGCCAGGATTTAAACTGATTCTGACCGAGTACTTTGTGCTTAGCCAGACAGCCTGAATTCATTCAAATAGCTCATGAAATGTCACCCATTTATGTATTCATTCTATTATTATTATTATTATTATTATTATTATTATTATTATTATTATTATTATTATTATACAATTGTATATATATTATTGTATATTATATTGTATACTTTATTATATTATATTATAATATTATATTATATATTATAATATATAATATTATATTGTATATAATATTGTATATTATACAATAATAATAATTTATTATTATTATTATTATTATTATTATTATTATTATTATTATTATTATTATACAATTGTATATATATTATTGTATATTATATTGTATACTTTATTATATTATATTATAATATTATATTATATATTATAATATATAATAT